CCCTTTAAATGCCAAGGACCAACCATGTAAAATGTTAGGAAGATATGGTTGTTAACCACAGCAATGTTTTGGAAACAAGCAAAAGATAAGTCTTCACAACACGAAGGGGAACAAAAGAGAAGAAAAGGAGAAATCAAAGGATGGGAAATTTTAAGGGAATTTACATTAGATGTCTTGTAATCAGCAACAAAGAGACCTCGCTAGAGATTTGGGGGAGCTGCTACTTCATTTTTCATTAGCCCTTGTTAGGGAACTTCAGACGGCATGGATTCTTGCTTTGGCCTCTTCTTTCCCTACTGCCCTGACTCCTGGAAATAGCAGGACTGGATTCATTGAACTGGATTCCCCCCTTTCTGCTAGGTCATGCTTTTAAATAGCTTGAACTTGCAACTGTTGATTTGTTAGCATTGGGCATTCCGATGTCGATCTTTAAAATATTTTTTTAGTTATTTGTAATCTAAAATGCATTTCAGTATTGATAGTCTTTAGGAGCTATAGATCTGTTAATGCATCCAAATCAAACTGTAAAATCAGCAGATGTTTTAATTAGATATATACTGGCATCCTGCATTTTTAGACAATTCAAAATTCCTTTGTAATAAATCATTCTTTTTAAATACATTTGATTAAAGATAAGATAAAAATACAAAAAGAAACAAAAGTTAGAAAACTGACAGAAAGAGAAGTGCAAAGAAAGAAGAAAAAAGTAGTGACTCCCGACTTAATGCAGTAAGATACAATAAAAAAAAAAATATAACCTCAACCTTTTGCTTTACATTTCAAAACATTCCAGGCTATTCCTATAATAAGAAAATTATTCTAATCATCAAAACCTAAGATTAAAGTATCATTTTTTCCAGTTTCAAGTAAAGAGACTAGAAGCGGTTCCAAGTGGAAATAAAACAAGATAAATTCTTTTCTTTAATTAAAACAGTTTTGCCATCTCCCCTAATTTCATCAACTTTATTATCTGCTCTTCCAGTCTGGAAATTAGTGTGTCTTTCCATCTTTGTGCACATAAGACTTTCGCCACTGTAAACATAATTACAAAGTTCCAAATTTTCTTTAAAGTTCTTTGTCCATCAAACCTAAAAGGAAACTTCTGGTTTCAGTTTTATATTTATTTTAAGAATCTTCTGAATCATGATAAGCTCACCTAATGAAGACTTCATATTTGTGGTTTCAGAAATCTTGCATAGCTTTAAGATGGACAATAGGCAATTTGTTAAAGTGATTAGAAACTGACGTTTACAAACTTAGCTTCCTTTAAAAGTCTCCAGCATGGTTGCAGGCAAGATGGCTGATCCTGTCATCTCCTGGAGCTCGCACCTACGGAAAACCTGCTGTCCTGCAATCTCCTCATGAGGAGCAGCTGTCCGGAGCACATGTGGCCACTCTCCCATCTTTTTTTTGTCCAGAGAGGTTCCAAGGAACTGGTCTATCCACTGGGTTCCTTGCTCTTGGCTGTGATTGTCAGTATCACTTTTGTGGAGTTGTCTTTATATTTGCCATTCCCAGTAGTCCAGTAGGCAAGTGAATTTCTCTTCAAATAATTGCTTTGAGAAACTTAAGTAAAACCTCAAAGTAAAAACCTCATATGTTAGCAATTATAATTGGGAATATATATTTCTCTGTTTAATTGAATAACCTGATAATTCAAATCCTTTTAATACTATGGCAATACATTTTGGGAAAGAATATTCACAATGATCAATCAAATAAAATGTGTCATTCTCCATTATTTAAAGTAAACCTTGGTAAGCAAATGTTGTTTGTCACCCGATACAATGTATGAGTGCAAAACTTAAGTTCTTCCACTGGATATTTCTCCTCCCCAAGACAATTTAGTTTGGAATACAGGTAGTCCTTGATTTACAACAGTTTGTTTAGTGACCGTTCAAAGTTACAACTTCACTGAAAACAGTGACTTATGACCTTTTTTTGCACTTACGACCATTATGGCATCTCCATGGTCAGATGCTTGGCAACTGGTTCATATTTATGACGGTTGCAGCATCCCGCAGTCATATGATCCCCTTTTGACAAACAAAGTCAGTGAGGAGGCCAGATTCATTTAACAACCATGTTACTAACTTAACAAGTGGAGCGATTCACTTAACTATGGCAAGAAACGTCATAAAATGGGGCAAAACGTATTTAACAAATGTTTCACATTTTGGCAGAAATGGCTAAGATTTCTGCCTATTTAAAGGATTGCCCACAGGAAAGATGTATTTCGGTTTGGAGAAGATGGATAGATTATATTCAGAATAAATATGGGACTGATAAGTTCCATTTGGTTTTTGAGTAAATTTTATAATATTGGTATTGAGTAATTTATTATACTTCTTATATTTTTTCATCATTATATATTGTTATATTGATATTATTATTATATTGAGTAGGAGTTTTGTTTAATAATTAAGTTGATTATCTGTTTATTATTGTGTTTAATTTTTGATTTATTTAAATTAATTTTTTTAAAAAAAGAGTTAAAGTGTGTTAAAGATTTGGTTACTTATTTAGGTGGATAATGTTAGTTAGATTATGAATAATATATTTGTAACCCTGTGAACAGCTCTGGGAAG